TTAAAGAAAAAAGCTGAGCTGCTCTAATATTTCTTTTGACCTCATTTACTCCCCAACCAAACTGGATTTTCCAACTTGAACCCCATAGCACTTTGTTATTTGGCTTCCAGTATATCTTCAGAGGTTTGAGGTCTTCTACGCCTCCACTGCTCTGTGGGTGTATGTACCTGTGAGCATGTGTGCGCATGTGTATGTGTTTGAAAAGTTGACGTGTAAACCCTAAGCACTTATGATTACCAAATACCCTTTAAAAAACATTTATTTTATTCATTTGAAAGGCAGAGTTGAAGGGGGCGGGGAGAGTCAGTGAGAGAGAGAGAGAAAGAGATTTTTCCATCTGCTGGTTCACTCCCCCTATAGTTGCAAGGAACTTCATCCGGGTCTCCCACATGGCCTAATCTGCTACGCCACAATGCTGGCCCCCAAATACTCTTTGGAGGACATTTTCTTAACATTAGGATCTCTCTTTTTCAAAAACACATCCACTGGCAAGTTATCCGTAATTTATATTGAACCAAGAGTTAGCAGCAATATTGTTCATCACTTACTTCTGCTTCCTGGAGATGTCCATATTGATTCAAGTTTTGCTTCTCTGAGTTATTTATAATTTTTTTAAATGAGAGCATACATTGAAACCTTCCATGTCAGAACTTACTGCTTGCTTGAGTACCTTTGTGGACAAGTCATTCAGCATTTCAGGTAGGTCTGATGACACTTCTCATTCTCTTTCATATTAGGTAGTTAGTACCTATGGATTTTTCTGCTTTATCCTCATAACGTGGAGCTAAAGACTCCATGCATAGAGCCTTTGAAGTACCAAGTTATAAGAATTATAACTTGTAGTGAAAGCATTTTGAATGACTTAATTCTGGAAAAATAGTACACAGTGGTTGAAATTTGCTCACTTCAAGGCGGAAGGCTAGGAAAAAAGGACATTTCAACTATGTTCATATAACCTTTGGTGCATGCACTTTTTTTTTTTTTTTATAAAACGAAGATAACCCAAGTGTGAAAATTGTTAAATTTCCTCTAATTTTCTAGGGTCAGTGCTTTTAAAAAAATGTGCCTAAATATTAAGATGGCTAAGTGTCTGAGGTAAGTGCTTTAGTTGACCTTCATCCAACAAATGTGTTCATCAGCCATGTACTTGAAACTATGTGAATAGGCTTTTGCCCTCAGGTGCTTAGGCTATATACTATCCTGAGAATATAATAATCTGTAATTACCACTTAGTGGGTGAGACCAGAGGCAGCTGTGTTGAAGAGGTCATTAAGGAGGAGAGGTAAGATTTTGACGAGTGCAGTACATGAGCAGGAGGAAAAACTACAACTGTGTTGGGAGGATTCAGCACAGGCTCTGTTCAGGTAACTTTATATGAAAATTAGAGACAAAGGAAGAGGAGGAAATGAGCAGGTGCTCTTTTTTTTTTTTTTTTTCCTGACAGGCAGAGTGGATAGTGAGAGAGAGAGACAGAGAGAAAGGTTTTCCTTTTTGCTGTTGGTTCACCCTCTAATGGCCGCCATGGCTGGTGCGCTGCGGCCGGCGCACCGCGCTGATCCGAAGGCAGGAGCCAGGTGCTTCTCCTGGTCTCCCGTGGGGTGCAGGGTCCAAGCACTTGGGCCATCCTCCACTGCCTTCCCGGGCCACTGGGAAAGAATTGGGCGCCCCGACCGGGACTAGAACCCGGTGTGCCGGCGCCGCTAGGTGGAGGATTAGCCTAGTGAGCCGCGGTGCCGGCCGAGCAGATGCTCTTAAGGAAGAAAATGTTCAGGGTCCTTCAGATCACTGACTTGAAGCTCTCTCAATAAAGCTGGAAATTAGTAATAGTAGTGGAATAATATGAATTTATGACAGAAAATATAATAGCAAGTAGTGCTTTGCCACTGCCAAAGGTAATTTAATGGAGAAAACTGGGGGTGAGTTGAACTCACCTGTTTGAAGTCTTCAAACCAAATGGTCTTCAAGATGCTTAAAAGGGTTTATATTTGTTACAGCCACCTATCACCATTAATTCTCAGGTGGGAAAAGCTGATATGCCTTAAAATCTTTAATAGGACAGCAAGGCTTAGTTTACTGACCTACTTACACAGTGAACATTCCTAGGGCATGAAAATCTGGTTATAGGAACCTGCTTAAGAAATGTCATCTGGTGTCTGTGAATGCTATTAACAGATCAATTGTATGTTTTTAGAAACAGCAGTTTATCAACATCACTCCCATGAGAGTGCCGACTGCACTGGCCACCCTTTGAAAGGTGCCTTAAGGAAGACCAAAGTTCTGTTACTGACAAAATGGAATAAATCAAAAGGAAAACCTTTCCAAAAATTCTAATACCATAATGCACAAGACATAGATTTTGCATGTTAGGAGCCTTTATACTTCTCGCTGTCTTCTACCCCAAAGCGCCCATGGCCTTGACTGAGGTATTATTATAAATGGACTATCTACCATTTGCAAAAAAGATTCAATATAGAAATGTCCATCTGTGCATTTATAATAAACACTGGCTTACATTTCAAGTATGCTTTACAAGGTAAAGTTTAACTCATTTACATTAAACAAGACTTGTTCATTAGAGCAAAACCATTTCATCTGCATTATTGGCAGCTGAAGATAATAGTACAGATAGGTGTTTTGAGAACTCCTTCCTGGACCATGATCTCCATCAAACACTGTGCCTTTTCCCAACTCCTTTTCTTCTTTAGAGCAAAATATGGGAGTTTATGTGCTCTACTGTGAACAACTTATCAGAGAAAAGTGTTTTCACTTCTCTCAGGGTAAAATCAGCTCCTCTAAAGAATGAACTGAAACTAACTCTATTCATGAGGGTCCCCCAGAGAAGCAGAATAGGATGCGCACATAAATACACATACAGAGATCTGGTTTCAGGAATTGGCTCGTGATCATAAGGGCTGGCAAATCTGAATCTGCAAGGCAGGCCAGCAGGGTGGGCTCCACGGATGAGTCTGTGCTGCACCTGAATCCGAAGGCAAAGTTTTTTTCCTCCCGGGATCTGGGTCTTTTCTCTTAAAGCCTTCAACTGATTGGATGAGGCCTGTCTGTGTTAGGGAGAGTCATCTGCTTTACTCAAAGCTACTGATTTAAACATTGGTCACATCTAAAAAATATGTGCATTGTGACATCAAGACTGGTGTATTCACTAAAAATTGGGCACTGTGGCCTACTCAAGTTAACAGAAAAAATAAATCCCCACACCAGCTAAGAGTCAATATCTTTAGACTAGAATGATTTATTATTGATTACTACTTCTTTGTGGGACAGGATGCAGCTGAAATCCAAGATTTCTGGATTTTTTTTTCTGGCTGAAATTGCCAGTACCTTACCATTTTTTGTTTTATTGACCAAAATTACCATTTTTTGATCAACAAAAAAATGGTAATTTAGTAGGGCTGAATGTAGTATTTGGGTGTTCCCCTCTAAGATGCTACTGCCATCTTCATTCAGATGCTTGATCAGGAAACAAACTTCTCTCTATAAAGCTGACTTCTTTGGAACATCCCTAGGACTTAGGACAAACTAGTGCCCTTTTACTTACAAAATGTTTGTTGAATAGTCAGTTAAGGAATGGTGACAACAAAACTCAAGCTGTCTATTGTCAGACTGAACTTTTTCCTCTTCTTAATGGTTTAAGCCATTAGTGTGGACTTTTCATTTAACACTAATGAAGAATTCTCCTAGCTACAATTTTGATGCAACAAGTAAACTTCATTTCTAATTAATTTTCCATAAAGATTAGACCATAAATGAATCCCAAGCATACTTTTGTCAGAGTAGAATACTCTGGGTACTATAAAAAAGCTGAAGCATTTTCCTTCTGTAAATTGTCCTTGATATATTTCATTTGAATGAATTTAAATAAAAACATGTTTAATGTTAATTCAAAGAATTAACACAGAAATACTTTAAGATTTGCCGGAATTAAGTGAAAAGAGGAAGGAATGGACAACATTGAAATCTGTTGATTTTAATTACCCTTTCTCAAGTAGGAGAACTAAAGGAAAGAGTCTGCAACAGTTGAGGCTGGGCCAGGTCAAGCAAGGAGCACGGAACTCATTCTGAGACTCTTACGTGGGAGGCAGGGCCCAAGTACTTGAAACATCACCACCACTTACCAGGTTGCACATTAGCAGGAAGCTAGAATTAGAAGTGGAGCCAGGACTGGAACCCAAGCATTTAGATAATGGGATGCAGGTGTCCCAAGTAGTGCATTAACCCCTGGGACAAACACCTGTCACCCACTGAAAACTTTTTTCATTTATTTGAAAGAGTGATAGAGAAGTTTCTTCCATTTGCTAGTTCACTCCCCAGTGCCCACAATAGCCAGGAATGGGCCACATCAAAGTCAGGAGTGAGAAACTACATCCAGGTGGCAGGGACACAAATATTTGGGATTTTACGTATTGTCTCCCAGGTACATTAACAGGAAACTGGATTGGAAGTGGAGGTGAACTCTTATCTCAGTCATCCCAAGGGGTGTGTCCCAGGTGGTGGCTCAACTTGCTATGCCACATGCACCACACCCCAGGGCCCCCAGAGTGGAACTTCTAAAAGGACAATTTATAGTACTGAATATTAAATGCCAATTTTCTTTCATTTGGACAATAAACATTTTAATTACTTTATTGAATTCTAAGCTCACCTAGATTAAAGTTTTGATATCTTACCTTTTGACTTTTTAAAAATATTTCTGTTCTTCTGAAGAAACAAAAATCTTACAATAAAAAATTCCTAGAACTTTATGATTCAACCAAAGTGCTGCCCTAGAGTCAGCTATTAGCATCTAACATTTATCACATGAGGAAATACTTATAATTAGAAGTGAAGAAAAAAAAAGTCATAAGCAAATAGAAAAGTATCATCTTTGACAATGTCAGGAAGATCTGCATTATCTAAAGCCATTCTATAATTTTATTCATATATTTTTGTGGAATTCACATATCTTTCTTACAGCAAACATAACACTGTAGGCGACAAGAAGCTGCAGTACTATTATTGTTTAATTAGCAGCAAATTAATATTTTAAATGTGAGTATCTGGACAATAAATAGCCTGCTTCTTTGGATGTGAATGTTTCAAATGTAGTTACCACTGCAGCTTCATAATGTGATTGCTATTTTACAGAGCTTATACACACACACAAAAATATGATCTTTGTCTATATTTTATACAAATACAACAGTAGTTTGTGAATACATTTTAAGTACATGATATACATGATAAGCCACTTGATTTCCCAATATCACAGAATAGCGATTTTAAATGCAATAAAAATATACAAAATTCAGCCTGGAATGCAGATTTTCTTCTTTTCTATTTTGACTCAAAACTTTATCATTAGAACATTTTTAGAGTACTAGTCCAAACACTTTTTCATTAGCTAAAAATACAATTTCAGCAGTCCAGCTTATGTTCAGGCATGACGAAATCCACCTCCTAATGGATTCCCAGTCTGTGTTAAATTCAAAGGGCTGTTAGTAACTTACAGCATGTTCTTCACTCCACACCCTATTGTAAAGCCCACTTTCCACTCTGAGTTACAGTCACCTTGTGGACAAAAGCTGGGTTTGTTCTGGTAACATTTGCACGTCCAAGATTTCCTTTTTGCAAGTGCACACAAATACATTGTGGTGGTGTAAGTTTGTTAATGACAAATGAAGTCACAGTATAAAAATATATTGTACACCTTTACACCTAATGCAGTCCTTTTTCTATGGATAAAAAAATACAACTGAATGAGACAGAGGTTTGTAGCACCATGGAGAGTTGTATCCCAAGTTACATTAGCAGCATGATCCAATGTAATATTGAAGGAGTGTTTCTGAGAAGATAAACATTCATTCTGGTTCATCTGTACCACGGAAGCTTATACAATGAAGTGTTTTACATGTTAGCAATAGTTCTGTGTCATTGCTAGAGCTAGATAACTTATCAAAAGACACTGCCTTCCATCCTCATAGAGTTGATGATGTTGCAGAAGGGCCTAATGGTGACCTAAGCATGCCCTTACCGGTGCTGGTAACATTACTTTGTCTTGTATGATCCCAGAGGAGTTCTCTACGGGCTTTTAGCACAAAACTACATACAACAACTTATGTAGGGCTAAATAATAAGAACAGAGCATCTGTGTTGTAGACATGGCTATTGACATAGTATGAGAAAAACAAGACAAATTCAACTTAGATGCTCATTTGTCAGAATAGTCTGCCATTGCTAATAACAAATACTCAGCGTTTGAAAGATCTCCTCCAACGTCACATGGATCTCAGTAGGCTAGAAGCAACTTGGGTGAACTGGTATTTTCTTTTAACTTACATACTGGGAAGACAGTGTGCTTTGAGACACGTAAACCTTGTAAAAAAATAAACCATTGTAAAACCTTATGAAAGACACACACTGATTCTGTGCAATACAGCAAATTGATAAGAAAACACTGTAAAAATGTACCTGTTTAAAATACCATCTACCATTTTTGTACACAAAGCATTATATATCAAAGGCCTACATATATCTCATCTAATGGCACTTGAAACAAATTATAATAAGTCTTAAAATAAAAGGCATAACCTATAAGAAAGTTATCTGTAAAGATTTAGATTCATTTTGAAAGTGCTATATCTTGTAATATGTGTAGTATAGAGGTTGACCAAGCTCTATTTTTTAAAAAAATATTGGCCTATAATATGTGTATTGCTCACTAGATGCATGATCCTGAAAATATGTTCTCTATAACATTCATTATTAGCTTAATAAAGCAATCAGCTCTGGCTCATGTTTCAGTCAGTATATGGTTTTTAAAAACCGCTACTGTCCAAATTAACACAATATATCGCTATATCCCAACAAAGACTAAGAAAAATAAAAGCACAAGCAACAAACAAGTAAAAAATACACAGCTTGAAAAGAAACACTAAGTGAAATTAAAAAAGATGCATCAATTGTGATGCATGATCAGCCAGCACAACTGATGAACTTGGTAACAGGATTTTAAAATGAAAGTTCCAACAGTGACAACAATAAAGATGATATTAGTACACATCAATGGATAATATTGCTTACAGTGCCAAGATCCTTCCACACCCACACTTCTGTGTTTGCTGACTCTTTACACACATGTGGAAGTCAAACTGAATGAGGTTCAATATCTTGTCTGAGGTCCAAATTCTGAACTAAAATATTTATTTAATGTTAATCCCTTTTTTTTTAAACCAAGCTAAGGCACTACCCAAAATATCAAGGATGATCTATTCTGGCCACTGGAGATTAAAAACAGCATTGGCAAAAACTATTTTTAATCCCATCCAGTTGATATTAAAAAAAAATTTTTTTCCCTAGGGAAAACAAAAGAGCCAATTCTCTGTCTCATCCTTGTTAGAACATTGTGCAATTAAAATAAATGAGTCTGCCTCATCTTTTAATAGAAATTCTCTCAAAAAGGATTTAGTGACCACTACGGTCAATTTTAAAAACAAATTAGCTGAATTCCCTCTTACTTTGAAATGTTATTCAAGTCTGTGGGGGCAGAAACAGCAAAGAGGAGTACAAAGTGAAAATTAGGACTCCACAATTTTAACACTATGCCCTGAAAGCTGTGCCTCCACATATGTGAATTCCACACAGGGAGAAAATCAGGTTGAAATACACACATCTAGATGTATGTATGTATATGGCGCCATTCCCCGGTTCCAAAATGCTTTATTTAATAAATCCTGGTACTCCCTTTTATTGTGTTAAAAGCAAAATACAGCCTACGAAGGCCATTGTCTGAGTTTATTAATTTGATTTCTTCTTAAACACATTTTAGACTGAATAAAGTAGTGCTTCCACACTTGTGATCTGTGGTTTTTATTTAAAAACAGGTTTTTTATTTACTTGTGCTCTGTCACCACATTTCTTTTTTTTCCTTTTTTATGGTGATTAAAGCAATATTGAACACTAATCATTCAACTAGAGATTTAAGTAAGCAATCTGTTTCATAGAAACTAAAGGAAGCAGTAAGGAAGCAGAGCGCAAAGCCTACTTTCAGAGCAAACATTCTCCTAACCAAAAGCTTAGGAGCGGTTTGAAAATTTTAAAAATGTATTTCCTTATTAACATATATAATTTTAATGCCTTTGGAACACACTTTTTTTAATAAAATGTAATTTTCCATAATAAAATTTAAATACATACGTATAAAAACTACTGCTCCTAGGATTAAAAAAAAAATAGGAGCATGATAAAATATCAGGAGCCAAAGCTCCTTCGGAGAGCAACTTTGATTCTATGAAGTGCGATAAATGTGTGTGTGTGTGTGTGTGTATAATATACATAGTGAAACCCCCATTTACATTATTACAATTTACATTCTCCACAAATTATACTACTCCCAAATATTTTAAATAATGTATTATAGTCAGTAATCTGCACTCATTTTTAGAAATTCTTGGTAAACATTTTTTTTTTTTTTTGCAATCTGCAGTGATAACTGGCCCTACGAAAGGGAAAGGATCTCCCATATTGGGCCAATGAGTGCTCAGAAATAGTTTTTCTTTTTTAAAAGAGAGATATACACTCTTCCATAAACTTCCCTCTTCCCCCCGACCCCAGCAGATGGGGTCCCCAAATAAGGTGTTAACAAGTGCTTAATAGATATGTTTCTTAGGTTGATGTCCCCATCGACCCTTAGAAAAATACAATAACTGGAACTTTGAAAAGATTGGTGGCTGTGTAACTTAAGGAAAGCCCATCATAACTATTTTATTCAGTGAAGACAATGCTGTTGATTGTTATTTTCACATTAATGAAGATAGTGCTTAGTTACTTAACTGTGTCCTCTATAAACTCAACCTACTTGCAACACTCCTCTCATTTCCTAGAGATGTGTAGAAGTGGGGTTTTACTGTATTATTTATTTTAGTCACTTAAAACCTTGTGGTAATTCCTCAAATGGTTTTCCACTAAGGCATTAAACTTCAAATTCTCCATCCGAAAATAGCAAGGAAAGGATTCAGGCTGAAGGAGAAAGGTACGATGGGGAGAGGGCCACTGCTTTTGGCTCTCAATAGACCTGACTTAAGTGGTATGCATTTACTTTATTCCTAGAGTCCAAGTTTTCAATCCTGGTGATGGAGGGTGTGATCCCTAGACAAACTTCCAGGATTTAACTGGGGCTTCACATCTGCCTCCCTGCTTAGGAGTCATAGACACTGAGACCGTCCACTCTGGGATTAACACACCTACTGTCTGGAGCTCCACGACGGCCCTAGATTCCCAACTGACTGCAGACCAACAATCCAAATAAAATTGCTGGTGCACTCGACCCAACCTTTGGCTGTAAAAGGTGGCAAAGATGAAAAGAGATCTATGCATACACTGACTCTGAAGACTGTGATGCGATACACTCGTATTAAATGGAAAGACAGTAAGCTAAGAAGGATGAAAATGACAAAATATCCCGTCTACTGTAATTAGGGCCAACTAAGTAACATGGAAAGCTATGTTACCTTACTAGGAGTCTCTTTTTGCTATAAATACTGGTGCTTTGTGTTTAGGTTTTGTTTTCCTTATATGCTCATAATAAAGACAGTAAATATTTTAGCCAGACAATAGCAAGTCTTCAAAATATACTGATCTGAGAGTATGGTATGTCTAAGAATCATCTGTTATCTCCCCCAAAATGGATTCTTAATTCAACCAAAAGTTGATTATGAATCCACTTAGAGGCCAGTAAAAATTTTAAACTCTTGAGTTATTCACATGTTTTATAAAATTTACATTCTAATGCAGAAAATTTTAATGAGCCAAATGTCAAAAGGTAGAGCCATTGTTACTGGGCAAACAATGAAAATTTTAAGATCTAAAAGTAATTTGAACATGGGATCTGTAAAACTTTTTAGTTATAATAATAATGGCTTTCCTATATGAAATAAAACTCATAAAATAGGACAATTGGCAGTGAATCAGGACAAGATACCCAGGTAAACATAGCTGAACACAAATGGTTCCAAAGCTCATTTAAAAAGCTAGTTTCTATCTTATACTGGCTTAATGAAAATTGGTATCATACAAAAGCAGAAATTTTTATACTGTCTTAAAGTAGGCACTAAAATAAAAATGGTCATCTAAGGCAGGGCTACACATCCGTTTCTGTAATAAACCCCCATCTGGGAATCCTACTGAAAAGCTTGATGGAAACGGGGCAGGGTGGTGCTTGTGCTTAAGCTACTGGTGAAAGCTGCGGAGAGTGAGTGTAGAGACCCAAGGCCTATAGTGTTGCCAGGATCCTGAAGATCCTGTGTTTGTGGGGGGAGCTGGGAGACAGAAGAATGCGCTTCATCTTGGGAATAGCTCATTCCAAGGCTCCCCACGGATATGGGATTATACGGAGGACCATTTAATGGTATGAAATTAAACAATTGAGAAAAATCCAAGGCTGGTGTGTTGAGGGGGTCACTGATGGAGACAGAGCTTTTGGACAGGGCGAGGTCCCCTGCACCGTCATCCAGGGACCCGCTCTGAGGCTCCAAGGCTAGCTTGGAGGATGACGATGCCTGGGAATCCTGGGATGAAGAGGGTGCGCCACCTTGGAGCTCCATCAGGTAACTCTCAATTTCCCCCTTTAATGGCTGTTCTTTTTCAGGAATAGAAATTGCATATGAGGTAGAACTGAATGGATATTTGAAAGAAAGGTGGTGAGAGGGATGAACAGCATCCATATCTATGGGGCAGGTCATTCCCAAAGGCAAAGTTGTGATCATTTGGTGGGCAGATCCCGAGCTCTGCATGGACTGAAATGGAGTGTTATAGAGGTTTAACTGCAAAGTGTTTGTGAATGGCTTTGATAACAGTTCACTGGAAGGTAAGGACATCACCGGAAGGAGCTCATCTTTTATAGGCACAGACACATTGCAGGTAAACGGATCCAGGAAATCCACTGGTTCCGTTTTCACCTTCAGAAGCTCTTGATTGTGACTCTTCTTCATATGTCGAGTTAGGTGATCCTTTCGTCCAAATCTCTGTGCACAGTACTGACAGAGGAAGTCCTTTCTTCCAGTGTGCACCACCATGTGTCTCCGGACATCCTTGCGGGTGTAGAAGCGGCGATCACAATGCTCACACTGATGCTTTTTCTCTTTAACCCCACCAGATGACTTGCCTGCATGAGATTTAAGGTGCTCCAGAAGCACTCCTGTGCTTTCGAAAGTCTGCAAACACACCTTACAGGTGAGGTCCCCGCTGGTTGCGGCATGCAAGGCCAAGTGACGTTTAAATCCGAGCTTGGTATTATAGTTCTTGCCACACTCTTCGCACTTAAACGTCTCTTTGTTAGGGTCGTGTGTGTGGAGGTGATTCTTCAGATGGTCTTTCCGGTGAAACATTTTCTCACAATAATTACACTTGTGGGTTTTCTCAGGAGAATGAGTAGCCATGTGCCTTTAAACACAGATATATTCTGTAAGTAATTATCATCACAAAAATGGCATGTATTCACTTTTCACATGGGAAGCTAAACTACTAGGCTAACACAGAATTACCTTAATATGGAAACTGTTTTACTTAATATGTACCACAAGGATAGTTAATATACCTAAATACTGCAAAACTTGAGCCATTTAAATTGCCACTTTAGTTTTTGCTGGTTTTTAGCTATCGTTACAAATGCAAATGAGCAATACTGAATATACTCACGTAAATGTCCAAACCCTTTTCTCGTCCTTATTTCTTTCTATACACGGAAATTCTACTCTTTTAAGCATTTCATTTAAAAAAATCCAAAGATACTAACACATAAAAGTATGTGACTTAGAATACTAAGAACTAGCCAATGTCTAACATATTCAACATTCCTCTTGGCAAATCAGCTGAAAAATGTGTATACAAATACATACGTTTACAGTGGCTTCAAATGGCCAACATAAGAGAAAATATAATCTGAAAGACAAATAGAGTTTAATACCTTTGTAATTTGTACTTAGAAACAAAGGCCTTGGTGCAGTCTTGTTGTATGCACTTGTAGGGCCTCTCTCCTGTGTGAGAGTAGGAGTGAACCTTTAATTTCTCAACACTGTTAAAGGCCTTGTCACACAGTTGGCAAGGAAAGTTTTTTCTTGGTTTGGTTTCACCACGCTTACGTTTCCCTGAAGGGACTTTCTGGGTATCTCTTACTTCTGACAAATCACCAGGAATGACAGTGGCCATCGCAGCCTAAACCAGGCCTTCTTGTTGGACACTTGGGAACTGCCCAACTCCACTAAATGATATAGCTTTAGGTGGCTTCTCAAGTTTCATGTGGTCGTAAAAGAAAGCAAAAAGGGACTGGAAAAAAAAATAAGAAACAACTAGTTTGTAACTAAACTCAATTTTTAAAAGTTTTATTTGCTATGTGATGCTTTTGAATTAAAAAAGAAACCATAAAATGGATTCAGCTGGTCTGATGTAATATCTGTAGGTTTCTTTATATTTGTCAAAAAAACATATAAAAGCATTGCTCAGAATGAACAGTTCATACATACCAGGAAATTCCACCTGACAAATGTTGTACTTAGGCATAGCAGTAGTGATTTCAGGAACCCTCAGGAAGCATCGAAACACAAGTCTAGAAGGGGTACTATCAACCCTCACTAGTCACAAGGCATGAGGGCGCATATATCTGACTAAAAACATCAAAGCACACATACTTTCACTTGGCACGTCCACTCTGGTCACACACTGGCTGGCTTATAGGACAATACAAACAAGCAGCTGGAACCTCTTTTAGGCACCTGTGAACCACTGAGTCCTTGGAAGTCCTTGATGCACAGGCACCAGAGGCCTGAAAAAGCTGAACGTCTTGCCCAGCATGACCATGTCCATTCTAGATGGGTGCCCTTACACTCTGAGGGATTTCTGAATAACAGTGCAAAATGATTCTTGAAATAGTGAAACCTTTTGATGTTACAGTATTTGAAGAGCATGACTCCATGTTGTTTTGGGGGAAAGCGCATGCTGAAAATAATTTTCCTGAACACTTTTCACATCACAGAAAATGATTTTGTTCACTGGGAGCACTGGGAATCAGCAGGTAAGCTGGAGTCACCAGGCCTCCCCAGGAGCTGGTGGGGGGTGGGGTAGATGGGGATCAGCCTGTGCTAGTCAGTAACAGTGTGCAGCAAGCCTGTTTGGACTTCTGACTTAATGCGCAACACCTGTGCAAGAATACAGCCTTACAGAGGTGATTCAGGCTGGTAATGAGGTGTGTTCAAGTTTGAATTCATTATTGGTGCTGTGAGAGAGTGAAACATACAGATTGTACAGCAAAGAGTGTTATCTATCTTTTTAAACCAAAAAAACTCTAAAACTGAATTGAAGCCTTTAAACATCATAAGTGAGAAACTAAGTATTATCAACTCTGTTTCTCACAGTAGGAAAATCAACCTCCCCAAAAGCCAATCAATGCGAGTGTTAGCTGATTCCTCAATGTCTATGAATACTAATTTAGTGATGTACTTTCAAAAGACCACAGAAATGATAATACTTGTAACCTCCTTTTAAAAGATCTGACTTTTTAAACTGAAAACATGTGGCTAAATGACTGTATTCAACTACCATTCAGATTGGATTTTTCATCTTACTATGTTTTTAAGAAATGAAAATCAACTTCCTTACCCCTTATGTCTTGGCATCAGCCTGACGCCTGCCTTCATAAACTTGGTCTGTTCCACTGACTTTCACAGATTCCAGCTATACTTCTGGATAAGACTCGAAATACCTATTTTTTTTTTTTGTAAAATTAAGTGTATTGTATGCTAAAAATGCAGAGACTGTCCGTAAATGGGCAAAATATAGCAAGCATCCATCTATTTGATCAAATCAGTAGTGTTTGCTTCGTCTGTCCTTTCCTTAACTTTAATAGGTAGATATAGGCAAGATCCTGTGTGCTGTTCAAATTGTCTAAAAGTATCCCTTACACTTTAAAAGGGACATTAACACAACACAATCGACTTTATCCACGCTAATATTAATATGTAGTCTCTGGTTTTAGATTTTCTAAATCTCAAGGACTTGTTCCTTTTCTGTCATAGTCTCATCAAAACACAACTCCTTTGTGGCCCTCAGAAATACCCAGCTGTAACCAATAATGACACTGTAAACTCGCATAAGTTATTCTGCCATGATAGGAAAAATTTATTTTCATTATTTGATATACTAATATGATGCTTTTAAGTACCTGTTTAGAACACTTTGAGAAACAAGGTGATCATTTTCTAATGGCATAATCAAAATGGAAAACAAGAACCTACATCCTTGTATGTAACTAACATCTGAAAATATTTCAAAGACTGGTCATACGTGCCATTTTGTTACAAGATTCAACATAATGGGCAGAGAATTCCATTTAAGAAAAACAACTTCAAAGTTATTTTAAAAAGTGTTAACAGCATACCATAAGCCAATATGCAAACATTTTGATTATATTAAAACTGGTGATACTCAATATGGAGTAAGAAATACATTTTGTTATCTTTGTGTGTACATACTGAGCAATGAAGAATTGCACTGATTTCAAATATTACACTTTTCTAAGACCAGCTGAAATTTTTTCATGGCTGATAATACCTTTTCATCTTAATGCATTACAAAACTTAAATTATTTATCATAGGCACATTTTAAACTATAAGAAAATTATGCAGTTGTGAGCTCAACATCTATACACAATCGAAGACCATATTCATAATATGCATATCAATACTTTAAAAGATGCATGCATAGAATTATAGTGATTTTTGTTCAATGCATACCTGACTGCTGATGGAAAAAGACTCAGATTTTGATCTTAGCCAGTCCCATTAACTCTTCGTGGAAGAGAGTGGAATCCAATCCTTCCCATTTTGGCCAATCTAAGGTGGAAAAAAGAGAATAGACTATACTCTAAATGGAACCAGTGCATAAATGATGGGAAAAAAAGCGCAAGAGAATTGCAACTTTAAGGCACATGCGTACATTCCATTCTCTGCTGATGTCATGCATTTTCACTGTTCGCAAATTTTTATTAGTTCTAAGCACATTTACATGACCAAATAAATGCAGAAATAAAAGGTAAAATAGTATTACCTAGATAAATGGCAATTTGTGATGCTGAATGACTCCCCACGTTTCCCAAATTCAATTTAATGTGTTTTCAAAAACTTAACGTGCATATGGAGAGAAATGGATAGTAGGGTTACTGAAGGTAACCAAACTGAACAAAAATTCATTAAGTTTAATACTATCATGGGAGAGACAAACTCAGTTCTGTCTTGGAGAGGGCATCTAGAACCACACCAAAGAACAGACTCCTGATGAAAACACTCACGCCCACGCTGTGCACACTTGTGCAACAGGGGCTTCTCAGAGCTAAACTCTTGTTACCTGCAATACCTGCCAATCTATTATTCAGAATGCTGCAAGGATTGTTGAAATGTAGCAATAGCTTTGCGCTCTTTAGATTTCAAAAACATGCAAAGGAGATTAAATACAGGTTTGATACAAGAGAAAAAGGTGTTAGCAAGGAAGCATCATTTGGTTTATTGGTTTTTGGAGATCACTGTTGAAAATATATTAAAATAGCTTAAAAATGCCTCTTAGCATGATTGTTAGTAGATTGAGAACACTTATAGAAAAAGATCTGTTAATAATTCTTGAATATACAAGTAAATATGGAAAGAACTGTGGTCAAAAGACAGAAAAATTTAGAACCATCTACTGGAGAGTACAAGGCATGAAAGATTAGTAAACTAAGTATTTTTAAGGTGAACATTCAGGACTAATGATTCTAAGAATTTGGGGGGATATATATATATAAATCAAATAGTTTTAAAATATAATAACAAAAGTATTTGTCAATGACAGGTTAAATGAAAATAACCTTAAAGTCCTAAACACAAATCTAATAATTTTCCCTGAAACAAAATTTTCACAGTTTAAAAATTTGATGATGTATAATAACTGAAATATTTAATAGAGGACATTCAAGCATCATTACAATTACACCATGGATATATTTGAAAGCGGCAATTATTCTCATAGTTTAAAAGACAAGAAAAAATAAAAATTTAGACCAATAAAAGATATTTTAAAAGTTAAAGCAAAAGCTCCATTCTTTTGTAAAGCATAGGACATGCATAAATGGAAGAACTGAATTCTGCACATCAAAATTGCAAAATAATAAAATTAACTTTGTAAATACTTACTTGCCCAGGGCACATATACTGAGTTTTTGGTAGGGTAATTAAGAATATGAAAGACCATTCTGTGTTATGGTGTTATTTTAACAATATAAATACCTTACAAGTGTAGAGTGTTTTCATTATTGCCTCCCTGAAATTCACTGACTCCAGAGGTGGGTGCATTTATCATCACTGCCACTCTAAGGTGAAGCCACAGACGCTGAACCACTCGATAGCATGTGCGTGGTCAAGAAGGGGCTGGTGCCCTCAAACTCCTAGTTCACTTTTATTCTACTGTGTTCCATGACAGAGGCAGGTTAGCAAATCAATTTGCAAGTGGGTAAATCCTGTTATTACACAAGGGTACTTTGAAAAGTTCATGGGAAATTTGAATTAAAAGATAACTTGGTTTTGGTGCAAAAAAATTTCTGAAATTGTATACATGAGGGGTCTGCAAAAAGTTCATGGAAAATGTGCAGTTTGAAAAACACTATGCATGGATTTAAATTTTTTTTGAATTTCATTTTTTTGCACTGAAAAAATTATTTTCATTCTACTTTTCCATGAGCCTTCAGAGGTACTCTTACAATCAAAAGCCAGAAGAAGGGATGGTGTTTATTTTTCTCTGTTAGAGCTGCCAAATAATGATCTCCCAAGGGAAATAAACTTAAGACTTAAAAAGCATAAAAAGGCAGTTTACAAAGTAAATTTTAAACAATCTAAGTAACGAACGACTAAAATAATAACTGGTATAGTATAGATCTGAGTAGAAAAAGAATCTAAAACCAAATTTGACTAATAAACAATACATATTTTTTCTTCTTTACCCAACATATTGCATACCTCATGCACACTTGTAAGATTTTTATTTGTGCTTATTGCTCAATGGCGTTTTATTATAAAATACTTGAGCATCTAAGTATTTCAATCCAGTCTAAAATTATGTATCCTGTTTTGAGATACTTTAATAATCTACAAATTACCTGTTATATATTTTTCAGTAGTAATAAAATAATAAAGCATCATTTAAATTTTTTATCATAAACAGTCCCAAATTTATGGATAATTTCCTTAAAATCAACTTATTTTGAGTTCTTATGAGCTTTCAAGTAATTTCAAAGGACTGCTAATTATTTCCCCAAACAAAAGAAATTGGGAGCTGGTTAGAATTATTTGGACATCTGATGTGTAACATAAAAAAATACAGTTCAAGTAATCCTAACTAAAATTAACTGTATGCTCTCATTTATACAATTAGGAAAAACTGTTTAAATGTATTAGGACTACTATTCTTAAAAATCTTCAATAAAAGCTGTACCTATATTTTTATTGTCCACTTTTTTAAAAAAAAAAACCTTATCAAAGATGGGTTACTATGCTCTTCAGGTGAGGAAAATTCTTCTTTGTCTTGGTCTGAAGAATCGTGAAGCAACGTAGAAAACATGGACACCCATTTCAAATTGTTCTAAGATGGGAACAGCAGGTCAGAATACCCTTCCAGTTTTTGTTTGTAACAGGGCAGGAATTTTTTTCCAGGGCAACTTTGTTATACATAGAAAGAACAGTTAGAGGGAGTATTGCCTGTAGCTGAGTACACACATACAGCTTCATCTTCCTACATTTTACCTGATTCTGAAACAGTGACTCACACAGAAAAATAGCAAGCAAAAATGAGTCATACAACAGAGGGTCTATGGAACCCAATTCCTATGTGAGCAAAAGAACAAGCTTGTAATGAAAACTCTTTCTGCATTTTAAATTCCATAGTTCTGACAGTTATTTTCCTAACCATTGTGAATTTTTACAACACTTACCTGCATCAATAATTCTTTCATATGTAAAAGTCAAAACAGATTTTGCTAATTAAGGGCAAATGCCAACAAACATCAAAGCTTTATTCTCCCTCATGCTAATCACAAAATACCATTAGTAAACAATTCAGAAAATGTTGACATTTACTTAAAAGCATGTTTTTTATATAAACAAGTAGGTTGCAAAAGGAAACTTACCAGTTGGGAACGATTTTATGCATACGAGATAAGAGTTTTGAATAATATGAAAGCAACTATTAATGAGATACTATAATTGAAGACAGTCAATTTTGAAGGAAACACAACAGCATACTTAGTACATTTTTAAAAACAACTTCAGTGATCCTGTATAACTGAGACATTTTTACAGCAATACATTTCTGTAGGTTTCTAAAATCACTAATTATAAAGAATAAAAGAGAAAAAACTATTTTGCAATTATGAAACATGAGAGAGAATGAAAAATCAACTGTAGGCAGTAAAGGGGCAAGGGTCATTGCAGTTTTAATCATTGCTGTTTCCCATAAATAGAAGTGAAATAAGTATTGACTGAAGAAAAAAAAGAAAACAGGGCAAGTGTTCACCAGCAACACAATGACCTACAGATTTGCTCAAGCACACAACAAACATAAAGCACAATATACTTATCTATAATCCAGCCAAATATAATGTAGTGCGGATAAGGGATGCCCTGGCAAACTGAATATGCTAATGGAAAGGTAGTTTTGTAAACCTAGCAGCAATCTGAAAAGTCTTAAGCGTAAAACAATAACAATGATAGTAACAAAAAGCTGTCTGGAACACTTACTTTGCTTCAGAAAATAAGCCTTTTCTGATTGGCCTTATTACTAAGGAATCAACTAGAACAAGTGGATAACATCAATCTGGCCCCCATTCCTAACAAAGATTTGCAAAGTGAGAACATGCCTGAGGCCTTATATCAGCGGCTGGCAAGAAGCAGGAAGGATGGTGAGCTGCTGGGGGTGGGGGTGGGTGGGGTGCTAGCTGCTCTCTGCAGAGAAGAGCAGAAAGGAGCTGCAATTTCACCGTGAAGCAGGAGACACAGCAAAGGCCTGAGCCTAAAACCCGTGCGTTAGAGTAGGGTCTTAAAGAACTCATTCTATGTCGGGGATACAGAAAATTATAGCATTTTTCTTTTTTCTTTCTTTTTTTTTTTTTTTTTTGACAGGCAGAGTGGACAGTGAGAGACAGAGAGAAAGGTCTTCCTTTGCCGTTGGTTCACCCTCCAATGGCCGCCGCGGCCGGCACGCCGCGCTGATCCGATGGCAGGAGCCAGGAGCCAGGTGCTTTTCCTGGTCTCCCATGGGGTGCAGGGCCCAAGCACCTGGGCCATCCTCCACTGCACTCCCTGGCCACAGCAGAGAGCTGGCCTGGAAGAGGGGCAACCGGGACAGAATCCGGCGCCCCGACCGGGACTAGAACCCGGTGTGCCGGCGCCGCTAGGCGGAGGATTAGCCTAGTGAGCCGCAGCGCCAGCCCAATTATAGCATTTTTCTACATGAGTTAAATAAACTTGATAAAAACCAAGGATGATCTTTTTGAATGCCTGTATTTGATATTTTCAACTTATTTTGAGCAATTCATTAAATATAGTTCTAGGACAATGTTTTTGAAAACTTATCATAAAAATTAGCCTTCCTGAACTTCAGAAAGGTCTTCTATTTAATACATAAATATTAAAAACTAACAGAAAAGTGAAGGAAAAGAGTAGACATATTTGTTTTCAAGAAGCACTGGTGGGGCAGACATTTTGGTGTCACTCAGGACACCCACATCTCATGAGAGTGCCTGGTCTGAGTCCTGTCTCCTCCTCCACTTTCTGCTAATGAGCACCCTGGGAGGTAGTGGGTGGGTGATGGGTCAAGTACTTGGTTCCTGCCACGCACGTGGGAGGCCTGGCTGGAGTTCTAGGTCCCAGGCTTTGGCCTGGCCCAGCTCTGGCTGTTGCTAATATTTGAGAAGTGAATCAGTGGATGGAAGATCCTTGTGTATTAAAGAAAGAAAAAGACAGAAAGAAAAGAAAGAAAAGAAAGAAAAGAAAGAAAAGAAAGAAAAGAAAGAAAAGAAAGGGAAGGAAGGAAGGAAGGAAGGAAGGAAGGAAGGAAAAGAAAAGAAAAGAAAAGAAAAAAGAAATGAAAAGGAAAGGAAAGGAAAGAAAGAAAAGAACTAACAGGAAAAAGTCAAGGAATTCCAAAGTGGAACCAGGAAATTCCATCACTTTTATCATTTTCACTTTTATCATCTCTACAATTATGATGTTGCTTCAGGCCACTAATTTTTCTAGAGTACCCAGACAGAATGAAAAGATGACCTGATGAGATGGAATATTCACATAAATGTTTTTCCAGTTCGGAAACATTTTCCTTGGTTATTTATTTTATGGAACAAAATACCATATTAAGTTAAAAAGTTTTTCTTCTCTTTTAAAAGTACTATCTTAAAGATGTATTACTCGGAAGTTAGCATTTAATTTTAACTTCTTGATAGGGGAGTTTCCTATGATTGCATATTCTTATTAAACTAAGAAAGCTAAGAAATACAAAGGAATGGTTCATTAGGGAATTTTCACTTTCATCACATAGGGCAATTAGTATTTGCAAACAGAAAAGGAGAGCAAATTGTACAAAAGAGAGCAATGATGTCTGAGAGAAAGAGCCACAAGTATACTCAAATACAAAGTAATATTACTTAAGCAATACTTGATTCTTAGATGACTTCCTCAGGTTTTTTTTTGTTTGCTTGTTTGTTTTTTTGTATAAAACATTTCCAAGCTATTGGTGATTTATTATTATAAAGGAAGTAGCCCCTAGGTCAGCTCAATCTGAAAATCATATATATCCCAAAACTGTGATGAGCTATTTATTACCACTCACCCCACTTCCACGGGTCTTAGAAAAATGTTTGCTCCTAACTATAAACATGTTCACACTGAAAGAGCCTCAACATTTGGAGGCCATTCCTCCATTCAGGTATGGTTAATTGCCTAATGTGATTAAAATCACAAACAGAGAAGAATCCAAATTCCATGTTTGAACTCCCAGGTATCTATACTGAATCTAACTATGAATTCAAAGAGAAAGGCAGAAATCAGATGCAATACGTGAAAAGTGCCAAGGGAAGAAAATTTTTACTCGACTATTAAAGCTCATGCAGAGAAATTAGTTTCAGGCCATCTCAAGGTAATGTGCACTTTAAATAGGGGCTTCTGCTGTTGCATACACAAAGAGGTTTAGTAAGTGCTGAAGCTTCCATAGCACTCAACAACGTGATGAAAACAGAATCCACTTCAGGTAAGGGTCTGCTTGTACCATCCATCTGTCCCTCCCAAATTATGCCCAGGTTAAAATAATTCTAAAACAACCACTTCCACTTATTCCCAAACAGTTAAAGGTAAATGAGATCAGTTATAGGCAAAACTGTCAAGTCAGAAGTTGCCACTCCCTCCTGGGCCTCCAGAAGACCCCACATACTCTCCTAGCTATTAGAAGAGATTTGATATTTAGATTCCTTGGTCAATTCTACTTGATTGAGAATGGATTTGAAAACCTTCCTTCTCTGAGACTTCTATCCCTAATATGGACTAGCAAGGTCTTCTTGAAATGAAGACTTGTCTGACCTGCCTTTCCTTCCAAGACAGTAATCTCCTCTGCAGGGGTACCACCACTCACCCTTATATCCCCACACGCAGGCAGTGTCCTAGCACCAAGTGGACATTTGATCATTACTTGTTCAACAGAATTGTAGTCCCTGTAAGGGAATTTCAGGAAGCAAAGCAACCCTGTTTCAGGGCCCTTGAAATCTCAAACTGGTTTTAAAGCAAGTTCAGGAGACAAATCCTGTATAATTAGATGGTGAGTTTGTTCTGGCGGAGTAGGAGCCTCGTGGAGCAAGATAACCACCTGGGAGTCTCACTGCTCCTGTGTCCCTGCAGAAGCACTCCCTGCTGCTGCCACGGGCCTTGGAAGTGAGGGGGATTCAGGCTCATGCCGCTTAGGGGCAAGCCCAGGGAGCACTCAGTAGTCCTGGATTTTCAGAACATTTCTGCCTTCAGGTGTTCTGCTCCACAGCACATGTAACCTACGCTAATCAGGATTCACCATTTGGAAATGGCCAGTGAAGTTTTATGGAAGGGAAAAGGGACCATGTAAAATTTAAACTCTTTGGAGAAGATGTGCTTCATGCAAAACTGAAATGTGGGAATGATGACGAAAATATCGGAGCATATTTTGGACTACAGATATGGGAGAATCAAAAAGGGAAAACATGCATAATTGGAGTTTGGCTCAAAAAAAGTAATTAAAATTTCCTTTTTCCAGCCACTAAAAAAAAAAAAGCCTCATTAGAAACAAGAGTAAAAACTACAGTGAAGAAGAAGGAGAAAAAAAATCCATAACCGATAGCACACACACATTTTTTTTTTTAAAAAAAAGCTTAAATAGGTGACTAAAAACTTAATGCTAATGGGATTTTAATGTTTCATTTCCAAAGAATGTTGTGCTTCTTAGCAAATTTTAGCCAGTTATTTATATTTATATATATGTACACACACACACACACTTCTAATCTGATTATAAAGTTCTGTTTGTATACATGGTGAAGCCTGCCTTGCTCTCACTCCAACTGCTTTCCCCGTTGGGGGCCTGTCTGCCATCAGAGGACAGTTCAAGAGCTTGAGTCAGCACAGCCACTTTTTTGCCCCGCAGTCTCCCCACCCCAGGGCTGGAGATACTGGCCTCTAAACCTCAATCCTGTGTTTGAGGTCCTGCTGACATACTTACCTGGTGCCAAATCCATGTGTGCTTGGATTTCCAAATATTGCTACACCTTGGCTCTGTGCCACAGAGCTGCATCTACAGGCTTGGAAATTGGGATGCTTGTGTGTATCTTTTCCCCAACAATGTTAGCAAATTGCTTTTGTCCCACCAAACCCCTTACTCTAGCATCTTCTCCATCTGCCCGTAGTTAATCAGGTCCTTCCTAGCAGACAGAAACAGAGTGGCAGCATGGAACAGTCTATTACTCTGAGCAAGACTGAGAGAAGGAAGAGTTTCAGAGTTCATCTGAAGGCCATGTGGAGAACGGGAACAGATAAGCTTTACAGCAGCTATGCATTTAGTGTACAGAGTGGGGTGTACTGCTCCTTGCCAGTATTCTAAGCCTTCCACTGGATCCTAACTACTAATGAAGTCCTGCTGATTGCAATATAGGTGGTTGGGTCTTACGACCGTAAGTGGCATGCTTATTATGTGGCATGCTTTTCAAAGCTTGTAATACCATATTTCACATTATTTAGAAATGGGAGTAATTGATCACTTTGAAAGTCATGCCATATAATGATAAAAGCCACCTACCTGAGGCCCTGCTCCAAACTCTAGCAAGGCAACCTTATTAACAGACTGTGATAGAATGAAGCATTCTGGGTGCCAAATACAGCCAAGGCAGCACCAAGAGGCAACCTAAAAAGAAAAGAAGAGTTAGTTTGAAATTCCAAAAGTCAGGCTCAATCTGGTAAATGGCATAGGAACCAAATTGGATTTTATTCGTTATTACTTATTTATAGTTTGTACTTTATAGTTATTGAAAAAAATCTATCTTAAACCTTATTAGAAACAAATGTGAAACACATAAAATATCAATAGTACATGAAACAATGAAAAGCAAACAAATCAATACCCCTAGATTTACATATCTGCTCCACCCTTCTTGAATCAGTTATCTAGATTATTCATACTTATATTTGGTAAAATAGTATTTCAAGTGCACTGCCAACTCTCAAGGTTTCTGCTTAATTTCATTATTTATATTCTAAAACACATCTATTTTCTTGGTACCATAGTTTTCAGAAAAACCTTCAGTGGTATCTACCATGTTCTAAGCAAAAGCTGAGACAGCAACCCCACACCACAAGTGCTTTTCTCAGCCAGGTACTAGAGCCATCTGCTATAGAGAAGACTGAAGGGCTGAGCGCCCTAACACAGAGGCAGAAAAAAGGGCTGGGAACAATTTCTCAGCTCCTGAGTTAGTCTTTATGATGTGACTGTTACTTGTTTCCAAGTGAATTCCCAGGGGCCAGTCAGTCTTCCAAAACTCACAAAGAAACCCAAAATGCATCCTGAAGCACTCAGTGTTGGGGGTTATCCTCAGCATTCTTCTGTTTGCACAGATTATGAAGACAGACCTCCAGGAGCTTTAACCGAGACAGGAAAGGGATGCCGTAAGTTTTACACAGAAAAGCACCTACTTTGCTTCCCTAAACCAGAGTCAAGGTTCAATTACATATGGTTGCCACTCTATGAAGATAAATTATCTGTTAAGAAGTACAGTTTTTAGTAAAAAACCTGCCTAAAGTATTTTTTAAATTTTAAGAAAAGTTGCAGAGTTGCAGAGATGGCGATCTCCCATATGTTGGTTCACTCTTCAAATGGTCACAGTGGCTGAGGCTGGGCCAAGCTGAAGCAAGGAGCTTGGAACTCCATCTGGGTTTCCCATGTGGGTGCAGGAACCCAAGCACTTGAGCCATCTTCTGATGCTTTCCCAGGTGCATTAGGGAGCTGGTTCAGAGGTGGAGCAGCCAGGACTTGAAATGGTGCCCATATGGGATGCTGGCATTGCAGGTGATGGCTTAACCTGCTACACCATAATACCAGCCCCTCAAAATATTTTTATAGTAACAAATCAATAGTTAGAAACAATATTATATAGTATAAACAAGTATCAAAGAAGGTCAGAAAAGGAAAAAGATGTACAATTAGGAAAGGCAAAAAAAGAGAGGAAGGAAGCAAGCAAGGAAGGAAAAGTGTGTGTGTGGCTGAGGGTGGGCATGACAGCCAAGAACTCAGGGGTCAAACCTGAAGGTGGTCTGGACTCCAGGATGACTTCCTGGCTACAGTGTGGTTTCTAGACATTATAAAGGATTCAAATGAGAAAATGCACAGAGACCCAGTGGCTTGGACATCTCACAAAAGTACTCATGATAAGCATGGGGTAATCATAAAATACCGACAGGATCAAAAGCGCCTATAAAAGCAAATTCTTAGCGACACAGGATGGGAGAGGGGGAGAGGGAATGCTAGTGTGATATGACACAAAAGATGGGTCCAAAGTGAGGTTTCCCAGGAGAAAGGCCACTTTCAAGCCTGACAATATTAACACGAAGAGACAAAAGGAAGAAAGACTAAGACAGTTAGTTGTAAGCCCAGTGTCCTAGAGAGATTCAAACCCAATGATTGATTTTATTTATTTATTTATTTATTTTTGACAGGCAGAGTTAGAGAAAGACAGAGAGAAAGGTCTTCCTTCCATTAGTTTACCCCCCAAATGGCCGCCACGGACAGCACGCTGTGGCCGATCCGAAGCCAAGAGCCAGGTGCTTCCTCCTGGTCTCCCATGTGGGGGCAGGGCCCAAGGACTTGGGCCATCCTCCACTGCCTTTCCGGGCCACAGCAGAGAGCTGGACTGGAAGAGGAGCAACTGGGACAGAATTCGGCGCCCCAACCGGGACTAGAACCTGGGGTGCCGGCACCGCAGGCAGAGGATTAGTCAAGTGAGCTGTGACACCGGCCCCCAATGACTGTTCACCTCATGTGGGGACCTAATGACTACCACTGCAAGACACAACAAAGTAATTCAGGGAGGAGCAGCAGAGACAGGACTTCAAGGAGGAAGAAAAAGGTCCAAGAAGCATAGAAAAATAAAGCTTCTGCCACCTGTTTGGCACTGGGGCATGGAGACTCCAAACTTGAGCAAGAAAGTGTGTGGTGTGGGTGGGACAGAAAGAGATAATGGGAAGAGAAGGAAGAGGGAGAAACATGTAAATGACAATCAATTGGGTGATAAGAAAAGGACTTCCAAAAAGAGGAGGTTTCTTTCAAAAAAACTCTGCATCCAAAGAGAGGGGAAAAAAAGAAGGTAGGGTAGTGGTTAAAGGGGAAGTCAGGATCCTGGGCGGGAAAGGCAATAAAAGTGTTCCACCGGGAGCATAAAGAGGCAGAGAAGAGTTCGGGCCATAATCCTGAAAGACACATCCCAAATGCCATAATCATGAGCATTGAAATTCCCCAAGACCAGAATCTCTAATGTCTAAAATCCCAAAAGATGTATAGAAAATAAATTATTTATTTATAGAAAATAGAATTCTAGAGAAAATAATTAAAAAAACAAGACCCCTACCTTATGTCTAAAATCCCAAAAGATTTATAGAAAATAAATTCTTTATTTATAGAAAATAGAATTCTAGAGAAAATAATTAAAAAAACAAGACCCCTACCTTATACAAAAATCCACTCAAAATAGATCAAGGATCTGAATCTATGACCTGATGCCATCAAATTACTAGAGGAGAACATTGGGGAAACTCTTAAAGGAACTGGCATAGGCAAAGACTTCTTGGAAAAGACCCAAGAAGCACAGGTAAATAAAGCAAAAATAGACAAATGGGATTATATCAAACTGTGAAGCTTCTGCATTGCAAAGAAAATACTCAACAAAGTGAAGAGGCAACTGACAGAATGGGAGAAATGCAAATGATGCAACTGATAAGGGATTAATATCCAAAATCTATAAAGAGCTCAAGAAACTCAACAACAACAAAACAAATAATCCAGTTAAAAAATGAGCAAAGGTCTTGAGCAGGCATTTTTCAAAAGACAAAAAGACATTTTAAATATAGGCTCTCTAGAAAATAGGTGACAAAATAATTTTGTAAGGATAATATTCGGTATACTAATGACAGCTGCATGTAACAATTATGAGCAGATGAACTGTATTCACAAGGAAATAAAAAACAAAGGAAAAAATGAAGTAGACAAACATACCACTACGACTGGTTACTGTACCCAACTTTATAATGGTGGTCATTTGAAACATGATGAGGAATGACCAGAACTTTCGGATGGGACTAACCAAAAACTATGAAAGGTCACCAACACATTTTCAGTTGCCCAAAGAGATAAGATCTTGAGAAATTTTAATATAAATGTGCAGTACAAAAAGGACATCTCTTCATTTACTGAGCAAGTCACAACGTTTTTATGTCCATGCACAGTAACTATACACAAAATCAGTGGGACAATACACTTTCCCACAGTCAGACTTACAAAAAATGAATAAAACAAACTAGGACTCTCTAAAGATTTTTACACAATTTATATCTCCATGAAAATGCTATGAAGATGAAATACTCATCACAGCAAGTTGTAAAAAAAAAATACAGTTTAAAATAGTGAGGGAAATAGCTACACACACACACACACACAAAAAACACCAAAAAGAAAATTAGACTTTCAGAATTTTAACATCAGGATTTTGAACTTCATTTTAGAGTTTAGATATTTTAGCCTTTGAGGATTTCAACACTTGGGATGATATGAGGGCAGCTCGGATCATGTCTTTCAGGATTATGACTGGCACCAGAGGGAAAACAAGTAAAGTGTTCTTGAGGGACAAGGCCAAATGGAGAGCAGGATAGAGTGGAAGGTTTTGATCATGGACAGGTAAAGGGGTCTCTTCACCAACTCTAGGGGATGCATGTTCTTCCCGGCGAGGTTGTCTGGGAGTTGAGCGCAGAAAATGCAATGGCCAGTGCTAAGTGGAAGCCTCCTACAGACACAGGTAAGGAGGAGGAGCAAGGCAGAAAGTACATCAGCAGTTACCTGGGGACAGAAGGTAGGCAAAGGTGGGGTCAATCACACAAGGGCCCGAGTGAACTTTTGGGGATGATGGCTGTGTTCACTGGGTTGGCTCTGGGATGGCTTCAGGAAGATGGAAATGCATGTTGCAATTAAGTCAATGGAATGCTTTACACATAGTCAGTTTACAGAATACCAATTATACACCAACAGAGCTGTTACAAACATAAAAAATGGCTAAGTTTTCACACTGGAAAAAATTGATGAGAGTGAGAAATATGAATTTACTTAAGTATGAAAAGAAAACTTTCTGTGAACTGAAATACCTCAAAATGGCTAAACTCTCTACTTCTCATTCAGAAGGGAGGAAAAACCAAAATGGGAGGGATACTGCCTTGAATGTGAGTCACATTCAATCCTTACTAGGAAGGATACAGAGCTAGTCAGTTTTTAGAGCCACATTCTCAGCTGTCAAACTTGGAGGAAGCCAACACAGTTCACCTGTTGTTCTATGGACTGGCATCTCATACTACATGATTTAAAAGCTCCAGGAATACACTTGAACTGGAACTGAGATGTACAGATAATAAATAGTTCACTGATAAGTTCCATTTATCAAATACCAAGTGCTCACTGAAGTGTTTCAATCCAGTCCCTGTTTAGTTCCTTTAAATATATTCATTAGTAACGACTTTAAACAGAAAGAATTCCCAT